GGTATCTTAGTCTGTTTTGTGCTGCTCTAACAGAGTACCAGAGACTGGGTAATTTATGAAGAGCTGAGAGTTATTTCTTGCAGTTCTGGAGAGTGGAAAGTCCAAGATCAAGGGCCTGGCATTTGGTTTATCTTGTTGCCGTGTTATCCCATGGTGGAAGATAGATAGGCAAATGAGCTTTACAAACTTCAGAGAGTGAGGAGAGGAAGGGAGCTGGATTTAACCTTTTATTAGAACCCACTCCTTCAATAACCCCATTAGTCCACTCATTAGGGCACAGCCCTCATGACCTAATCAGTTCATTAAGGTCTTACTTTTTAAAACTGTTGCATTGGAGACTGAGTGCTCAACACGTGAACTTTGGGAGATGATTTCAGATAAAGGAGGGGGAGAGTAGGCAGGGCTTGCTCTAGGATTAGATGTGGGGATGAGGGAAAGACCAGGTCAAGAATGTTCCCTCAAGGTCTAGGTTGAGCATTTGGTTAGCTGGGAAGTCTGATGAGGCGTGTATTTGGGGAGAGATGATAGGGACTCATCTCTGGGACAGGTACCTTTGAGAAGCCAGTCAGGCTGCTCAGTGGGTATCTGTTGCTAAAGGCGTGAGGCAGCCATTTTGGCATCCCCAGTGTGGAATGGACATTTGATTCCCGAGTACAAAGAGGTTCCCCATGAATTGGACAGAGTCCATGGAGGAGACAGGAGGCTCAGGCTGAGCCCTAGGACAACCCAAACTCAGACGTTACACCTCAGACATGGAAGCTCAGAAAGGGAGGTAGAGAGAACCAGCAGTTAGCGTAATGGCTATGTCGCTGGACCCCCACGTAGTCGACCGCGGTTCGCGTCCCGGACCCAGTAGCTTAGAACTCACACTGGGCGCGCATGCGTGCGTGCCCAAGATCCCGAGAGGAGAATGGAGGAGAAGGGATTATGGCGTGACCATCCCCCCAGGGGTTGATTTCTCGCTTTCTGTCTCTATGTCTCTCTCTGTCTGGCAAGCGCATGCGCCCTATAGCAAAAACCTCTTACCCCCCCCCCCAAAAAAAAAGGAAAAAGAAAAAGAAAGGGAGGTGGAGACAGCACAGAAGGTTGGGGGCCAGGAGACCAATGACACCACTAGCCATGGATGCTCACACTTCCTGACTCCACAGAGATGCCCACGGTGTCTCTCAGACTCACGCATCCCCATTTGTTCAACAAACCCACAGAGGCCATGTAAAACTTGCGGTGAGGGAGTTCTCAGCATGCCTCAGTTCAATTGGTCGAGGAAAAGTTTTGAGAAGACAGATTTCCAAATGGAGCTGCTTTCAGCTCATGTAGCTGGAAAGCTGGGCATTCACGCATCCCTGAGGTGTTGCCTGTTTCCCAAGAAGCCTCCCAGACCCCAGGAACAAAGGTCTCGGCCCTGTCACTGTTGCTTCCATTTCTGTAGTTCTCAGCCTCCATCAGGAAACCAGTATCAGGTTGGGCTCCCTGTGGGAGTGGTCTGCAGTGGGCTTGATGATAGGCTTCCTGGGTCCTACTCTCTTCTCCACTGACAGGTGATTTCTACTTGAGTTAAGAGGCTCAACCTCCTGGGGCCAGCAGGTGGCATGGTGGTTAAGGCACTGGATTCTCACCTGGTCGACCATGGTTCAAGTCCTTGACCTGGCAGCTTGAAATTCATGCTGGGTACATGTGCATGTCCAAAGTCCTAGGAGGAGAATGGAGAAGGGATCATGGCATGGCCATTCCCCCTGGGAGGTGGTTTCACACTTTCCCTCTCATTGTCTTTTTCTCTTCCTGGTGGGCACATGTGCCCTATGGCAGAAAACTTTAAAAAACAAACCAACAACAACAACAAAAAAAAAACAGGCCCGACACCTCCCCCACCCCATGCACAAGATTTAAAGATCTGTGTTCACAGTCGGGATCAGAGATTCCAACTCAGCTTGTGTTTTTTCCTGCCTCCAGCTTCCACTCTCATCCCATTTTCCATAGCTGTATCGAAAAATGTTCATAGGAAAACACACCATGACTTTTCCAGTGGCCCAATATAAAGAAAAAAAGCAGTTGCTCAAAATGACAGCCTCGGGAACCAGCAGTTAGTGTAATGGCTATGTCGCTGGACTCCCACGTAGTCGACCACGGTTCGCGTCCCGGACCCAGGGGCTTAAAACTCAACCCCGGGACGTGTGGTGAAGATCCCGAGAGGAGCATGGAGGAGAAGGGATTGCGGCGTGACCATCCCCCCTGGGGGGTGATTTCTCACTTTCTGTCTCTAACGTCTCTCTCTGTCTGTTTGGCGAGCGCACGCGCCCTATAGCAAAAATCTCTCTCTCTCAAAAAAAAAAAAAAAAATGACAGCCTCAAAGTCTTAGGACAACCTAGCCGAGTCCGATCGGCTTTCTCTTCTGTGCTTGTCAGGTAGCCCTCCCACAGCACAGGCCACGGTCCATGATGGAGAGATGAGGTGATTTCTTTGTTGTTTAGTTTTTTAGGTTTTTGCCATAGAAGACATATCCTCACCAGAGAAAGAGAGAGAGGGAAAGTGAGAAATCACCCCCTGGGGGATGACCATACCTCAGCCCCTTCATTCTCCTCCCAGGATTTCGGGCACACACACAGATGCACCTTGAGAGTTTGTCAAGCTGCTGAGGCTGGGACTCGAACCACGGAGTTAGCCATGTGGGATCCAGGCATGCCTTAACCAGCATATCACTTGCTGGCCCTGAGGGTTTTAAAAAGATATTTAAAGTTTTTGGGTCCCCCCCTTTAGAGTAGTTTTAGGTTCACAAGCAAATTGGGAGGAAGGGACAGAGTTCCCTCATATCCCCTTCCCTACAGGCAAACCCCACATCATCCACACCCCCACCAGGGTGGAAAACCTTCTTAGACCTGAGAATCCGCACCAGCACATTGTAACGGCCCCAAGTCCATAGCTGGGTTGAGGGTTCGTTCTTGGCTTTGCACAGTCTCTGTGGTTTTGGACAAATACGAGGGGTATTCGAAAAGTGTATTATGGAAAATGTGAATTATGAAAAAACTGCACAAATTTCAACCCTTCTGCACTACAATAAAGCCGAACTTTAATCACATTTTCCTATAATCCCCTCATATATAATGACGTGTCTATCACTGCGGAGTCTTACACAGCCCATAAAGCCTGCGTGTTCCACCTATTAAGCCCTGTCCCCCCACCCAGCCCTGGGGAGGTGGTTTCCATGCAGGGATGAGCTCTTCCAGTGGGGTTGGCTGCACCTGGAGACATGTCAGTCACTCGGGCACACGAGGAGTGACCAGCATGTGACAAGCATTCCAGTTGTCCCCAGGCCACTGAGCTCTGAAATTTCCCCGGCGCCCTCTGCTCAGATTGGCTGTTTCTCAGTAATGCCACTTGCAGACAACAACGATTCTCTTGCATTTCTCTGCCGTCATCCACGGATCCTCATGCCCTTTACAAGGAACAAGCTTGCTTGAGACAGAAAACAAGAGATGAGTGATCTGTGACATGTGACCAGAAAGTCGTAACACACTCTCCCTTGTCTAGGGTTATAATGCTTCATTTTTCCAGTCGTATCTTGTATGACCCTCTCTGTATAGTTCAGGCACCTATAGAAAGATAAAATATACAAACTGGGTAGAAGGTAAGCTTGGGAAGGAGCCCAAGTAAAACCAGAGTCGTACACCCAGCATCGCCCCAGCCTCACACAGGCAGTGTGATGTGAGGGGATAGGTTAGAACGACACCGCAAGTAGTGTCTGAATAGAAAATTGACAGAGTAGTAGAGAGCAGCACTTCGCCATTGCCTGCAAGGGGAGGAACGAGCCCCGGATGCGTGACAGACCGTGTGTGTGAGATTCCCCACGTGGGAAGCCCTGGATTCACATGGGATCCTGTGGGTTGGAGTGTATTAATGTCCACACCAGCACTCTGTCACGTACGGAGCAGCAGAGGAGGCCAATGCGGTGGGCCCTCAAGTTCTAGTTCCCCACTTCTGAGCCATATGTCATGACCCTAAACACACTGTCTCACCTCTCTAGGCCCCAGATTGCACATCTGTAGAAAAGGCAACATCAGAACCAGCAGCTAGCATAATGGCTATGTCGCTGGACTCCCACATAGTCAACCACGGTTCGAGTGCCAGACCCGGTGGCTTAAACTCACGCTGGGCACATGTGCGTGCATGCCCAAGATCCCAAGAGGAGAATGGAGGAGAAGGGATTGCGGCGTGGTCATCCCCCCTGGGGGGTGATTTCTTGCTTTCTGTCGCTCTGTCTCTCTCTGTCTGTCTGGCGAGAGCTCACACCCTATTGCAAAAACCTTTCTAGAAAAAAGAAAAAGAAAAGGCAACATGATTCTTTTCCTTATACGAATGTTGTGGGGCCACATGTATTCACCTGCACCGTTAAACATGGGAAACAGTGGTAATTGGGAGGGAAGAGCAAAGGGGCACCCCGTCCTGCCCCGGCCGATAACCGCCGTGGTTGTCCAGCACCGATCAGCACTTGCCATCAGACAGCGGCAGTACCGTCTAATGGAAAGGTTGTTCCGACTGTGATGGTCATGCCGCAATCCCTTCTCCACTCTCCTCTTGGGATTTGGGGCACACACATGTGCTCTAAGCCACCAGGTCGGGACTCGAACCACACATTCGACTATGTGGGATCTAGCCGCCTTTACTACCGTGCCACCTACCAGGCCCCAATCTTCCTTTTATGAAAAAGGGAAATGTTTGTTCTTCTCGTTGTCACAAGAATTTATATTCCTATTTTTCTAAATTTCCATTTAAGAAGAATGCAAAATTTAAGAAACTTTTTTCCCAGAAAAAATAGCTGCGTTCTCTTGAAAGAATAATTGTATCCTTGAAATGCCTTGAGTAAAGCATTTCTCTGAGTGGTTAATGCGGAAATCTGCTGTAGAATATTTTGCATATATTGGGTGGGAGAGGATGGGCTCCCTCAAGTCAAAAGACATTTTATTAATTTCTCTCTCTTTTTTTTCTTTTCTGCCTCTCATTTCAGAACGGTTTGATCACCACTGTCCCTGGGTAGGCAACTGTGTGGGGAAAAGAAACTACAGATTTTTTTATATGTTTATTTTATCTCTGTCTTTTCTGACAGTCTTTATATTTGCATTCGTTATCGCCCACGTCATTCTTCGTAAGTATGCCGGCGGGTCAGAGTGCGCATGTAACCGTTGCCTGACTTGGCTTTCTGACTGAATTCTGATTGACTCTTCCCATCACTGCGGGCTCACCCTCTTCTCTCCCCTTCTCTTCCCTTTCCCCACCTCACTTCCAGCCTGCCCTTTCTCCATTTCTCGCCTTCCTCATCCCTCTCCAGCGCTCCCCCCTGCCCCTGCTCTCTAGGTTTCTTTGATGACTTCACACCCCCACCCCCATTCTCCAGCAGCGCTGTCCAGGGTCGCACCTGGACCGGCTTCACGCTCACCAAGGGGACTTCTCCCTGGATACACTCGTCCCTATTCTACCTCTGCGCCTTCACTTCTCTCCTGCTGAGGGGTGCCCTGGCTGATCACCCCCACCTTTGCAGAAAAGGCAGTGTGCCATAGTGATAGACTGCCAGAGGGGCATTGTCCTTGACACGCCCTGTACTCATGCAGGAGCCATCGCTGCCCCTGGGGAGAACGTCCGGGGGTAAAGACTGGGTTTTCTGGTCCACTCACCTCTGTATGTTAGAAATATGCATTTGGTAAGATGTTCCAGTATCACAGAACCTGTGCAAACCACCCCTGGCTTAAATGTGGATATAAATGATTTACCAAAGGGTTGCCTAAGCAAACGGCATTTTCTCATTCCCCGTTCTGAAGGTGCCAACTTGACATTTCCTTTGTCTCTTGGTTAATCACGCCCTACCACAGGGAGTGATGAGAAGTTATGGCTTTGCACTGTACACGGAGGCCTTTAAACTTCCGTTAGCGCACCCTTAGCAATACGAAAGGCTCACCTTGCCTCTGGTCCCACCCCTGAAGTATAACCAGACACTGCCCAGTGCAGACAGCGTTCTGGAATGTTTGCAGAAATGTCAGAACACCTGCCTGGCTTTCTTCGCTTAGCAGTGCCAAAACCCCAGTGGGCCCGCAGGGCTCAAGCTGAGTGCTCATTCTCTCCCTCTGAGGACAGGTGTTGTAGACGCCCCCTCTTCCCGCTCCGCAGGTCAGCATGTCGCAGCCTGCCCGGGCGCAGTTCGTGGAGCAGCATGTTCCCGAGGCAAAGCGAGGAGGCTGAAGGGAGCCCGTCTCTGTCCCTACTGAAGCCAAGTTGTCTCTTGCCCAAGCTCCTCCCTCTACAGGGAAACCCAAACTTCATGTCCCAGGAATCTGGAGACCACAGAATTTCTGCCCAGCCTCCCTGTCCTGTCCTCCCCTTTCCCGGCAATCAGCTGGCAGGGCGGGCCCAGGTGACAGCTCTCCAGCAGCTATCAAATGCTCTCTGCCTTTGCCAGTGTGTTCTGAATCTTAGGGGGATGACAGGAGCTAGGTAAGCCTCGTCCTCCCCAAAAGCATCACGTGCCAAGCCACATGGGTGGGGGACTGCTGCGTGTGTGTATGAAGTGGGTGGGGGGTTGCTGGGGTTGCAGAACAGGGGAAAGGACAAGCTTCGTGTGTGCTGTCCACGGTAGTCAGATCATCTGCGAGCAGATAAATTCTTAATACATTGTTGCCAGAGAGCACGTGTCTTCACCAAAGAGACACACACAGAGAGAGGGGAGAAAGCACCCTCCATGTAGCGTGGTCATGCCACGACCCCTTCTCCATCTCTCTCTCCTTTGGGGACTTTGGGGGACACACACATGCCTGGAGTGTTTCTCAAGTCACTGGGTAAGAGTTTGAACCACGCTGTCATCCATTTGAGGCTCCAGCTGCCTTAACCACCAGGCCATGAGTTTAACATTTTTGTAGAAGACTCGATTCACAAGATCGAAGCACAACCCCCAGTCTGCTAGAGCCGTGAAGGGAAGTCTGAGAGAGCGAAGGTGAAATGCACCTTACAACCCGCCTGTGGAAATGGCTGCAACTTGCCCTGTGTGTGTGCGTGTGTGTGTCTGTGTGCACATGTGTGTGCATGTGCACGTGTGCACTGTGTGATCATGGCTGTGCGAGTGTGGCTGTGTTAGTGAGTGTGTAAGAGCCTGATTGTGAGAGGGTGTGTGGGTGCGAGTGTGCACATGTGTGTTCAAGAGTCTTCAAAAGCTCATGAAAACATATTATGGGGAAAAAACGTGCATGGATTTCAGAAGTTTTTCACACCAAAAGAAACTTGCACTTTAATTTGGTTTTCCTTGAACGATTCGTAGTTCCCTCGTACGTGACCATGCGTGTTTGTTCCCTGACTTTATGTATATGAGCGAGCAAGTGACAAGTGGCCTTTGGTATCTAGAATGTAGGAATAAGGCCATAAATACAATGCAATAATATATAAAAGCATTTTGGATAGTTGTTATGGGTGATATAAAAATGTGAGATGGGGCCGGCAGGTGGCGTGGTGGTTAAGGGCACTGGACTCCCACATTGCTGACTGCAGTTCTCGTCCTGAACCTGTGGTTTGCTTTCTTTCTCTCTCCCACTTCTTCTCCCTCTCTTTCTCTGTCCCTCTCTGGTCAAATTTAAATAAATAAATAAATTTAAATAAAATAATTCTTTTTTTAAAAAACTGAGCAGTACTAATCTGTTAAAAACTAAGATATAGGGCCAGCCCATGGCCTGGTGGGTAAGGCGTTTGAATCCCACATGGCCAACTGCCCGGTTCAGACTCTGCTTTCGGCAACTTAAGAACTCCAGGCACATGTACTGTGTGTCCAAAATCCCCAAAAGAGGGAGAGATGGAGGAGAAGGGATTGTGGCCGGACCACTCCCCACTGGGGGTGCTTTTCCCTCCTCTGTCTCTCCCTGTCTGTCTGTCAAGTGCACCGGCTCTCTGACAATTACGAATACATAGTAAGGATTTGTCTGCCTACAGATAATTTGATTATTGTGGACAAATGCACATAAAACTTGGCCTTTCCCTTGTTCTGCCACCTCTGCAGCCCCCCACCCCCTTCATACATGCACATGGCAGTCCCCCATGTGGCTTGGCACGTGATGCTTTTGGGGAGGATGGGGCTTACCTGGTTCCTGTCATCCCCCTAAGATTCAGCAAAGGCAGAGAGCGTTTGACAGCCGCCGGAGAGCTGTTACCTGCCAGGCGATTGCTGGGAGGGGAGGGCGGACTGGGAGGCTGGGCAGGAATTCTGTAGTCTCCAGATTTTTGGGGGGGAAGTCTGGATTCCCCTGTAGAGGAAGGAGCTTAGACAAGAGACAACTTGGGTACAGTAGGAACAGAGACAGGCTCTCTCTAGCCTCCTCACTTTGCCTCAGACTGTGCTTCCCGTGAGCCGCAGCCCAGCCATGTGTGGCTGTGCCCTGCTGCCTGCAGAGAGGGACGCGAGCTTACAGCTGGGTCGGTCCGTGTACCGCTCTGTGCAATCTGCCCCGTGTCCTCCCACGTGGTGCCTCTGTGTGTCCCGTGTGGGCAGCAGAATTTGGAGAGGGATAAGGAACCAGCGGCTCTTCACCCTCCCCTGGGGACTCGGCGCCAGTTATGCCCTGCCACTGCCTCCCAGGGGCCTCTACGCCACCATCACCGCAGAGTGTACCAGGACAGCCTGTGGTCCCCAGGCACCCGTGGCTGTGAGGGCCAGGCTGCTTACCCCGAATCCCACGGGTTCCATCCGGTAGACAGTGACCCAGCAAATGGGACCAAGACTTCCTCCCACAGACTTTTCCAAAAAGGGCGATGTCAGTACATTAAATAAAAATGTCCTCTTGTCAGTTGCCTCTTTATTCAAGCCCCCAAAGAAATGTTTTCCTGCACAGACAACTCATATTAAAATGTCTGAAACCCAAAAGAAGTCAGTAATAAACTTCAACTTTACGACTGTTTACTTTGGGTGCAGAGAAGGAAGTCTTTCATATGTAGCCTAATTCATAAGACTTCTAGGGTCAAAAGTTAACAAATTTGGGGAAAATAGAAGAGAAAAAAAATAGTATACAGTATTCTGTTTTCCTATTAAGATGAGGAAAACAAAGGAGTAATCAGAACTGTAATTTATGGAAAAGCATGCAGACATCCATCTGCTTTTATTGAAAAACTATCCTGCAGATGTTGGATCTAATTATGAATCTGCCATTTTCTTGTTGAATAACTTTAGTAGAATCTCAATCTTTGATCAGTAAACTGGGTGCTGTAGTACTTACAAAGTGTAATTATTTAATTGATCTTTAGATACCTATTGTTTTCATGTAGATGAGAGAGCTCTCATGGGAAGGCTGTTTCTTCAGGAGGTGAATGTGTGAATACTAAATGTTAGTTTCATTCCCACAGGTTCACAACAAACGGGATTTCTAAACGCCCTGAAGGACAGTCCTGCAAGATATCCTTTCTGGTGTTCTGTGGTGCTAATGTGCTGAGTATTTGCTGTTTATTTTTTAAGAATTATTTTTTTGTTTTATTTTATTTATTATTATTATTTTGTTTTAATTCGCTATAGGGCATGTGCACTCACCAGAGAGAGAGAGAGAGACAGAGAGGGTGAGAAAGCAAGCCGCCAGGTTCGGGACTCAAACTGTGGTAGGCCATGTAGTTCAGCACTTCAACTACTACAACACCTGCTGGCACCTGACTAACCTTCCACCACCCTCTTACCTCCTCCTCTTCTTGTGCTGTAGCTTTTCTTCTCATAAATCATACTCTTTTCCCTTCTGCAAAGTATCCAAGCAACTTCCTTGTGTTAACTAGCATGACTCTGAGTGACTCATTTAGCCTTGTTTAAATTGAAGTGCTCTCTAGTTAGAAAGCCAAGTATGAATTCTTGCCCACCCAGGGCACAGCATTGACTGTTACATCAGGTTGCAGGGGGTAGGGTCGAAGTGGGGCTGGGGTTGCAGCTGCTCTCATTTTGATTGGCAGGTGGTCCATACTGAGTATTTATGGACAACCATGTGTGAGCCCAATTCTTTTTTTTTTTTTTTACTTTTTTGGAGAGGTTTTTGCTATAGGGCACGTGCGCTCGCCAGACAGACAGAGAGAGACAGAGAGATAGAAAGCGAGAAATCACCCCCCAGAGGGGATGGCCACGCCACAATCCCTTCTCCTCCATTCTCCTCTCGGGATCTTGGGCATGCATGCACACGCGCCCGGCATGAGTTTAAGCCACCAGGTCCGGGACTCGAACCGCAGTCGACTACGTGGGAGTCCAACGACATAGCCATTACACCAACTGCTGGTCCCTGTGAGCCCAGTTCTCGGGATGCTGTCAGCAGATGAGAATCCTCAGACCCCTCTGTACGGTTCCTGTCTGCATCTGCAGTTTGGCATTCCTTTGGAAGTTCAGATAAGCTGTTTTATCTCCAGGAACAGAACACCTATTTGTAATGCAGAATGGTCAGTGTCTAGTCATTTGATTAATGAGGACTGTTTTCATCTTCCCAAACAGTACATATAGACATGGACCATAACATTTTGAATCTTGAAAGAGAAATGTTCACCTCGTAAATGCATATTTCCCTCAGAAGGGGAGGGCCACTGCCTCTTGCTGAGAAAGACTGACCTTGGAGCCCGGGTAGTGTCAGCCCTTCTCCGCGGCCTGCGGGCTACCTGCTGCTCTGCGCCTTTCTCTTCAGCCCCCTTTGCAGGCGGAGCCCAGAGGAGCGTTGAGGGGTTGGCTTTGTTGCTGCCTGGTCTTCATTCTGTCTCTCCCCAGACCCCCACTCGTGGGTCTTAGCCTATCATAACCCCCAAAGGATTCTCAGGGAAGGGCAGGTGTTGAGTTCTGGGCTGGGTAACGGCTTTTTCATCCCTGCTCCACCACAATCAATTGTCAGGTCTGGGGTTATTTCTCAACCCGCTTGTGTCTCACTTTGTTGACACACAATAGCCAGCCACTCTGTCCTTGACAATGACGGGCTGACAAAGTCGGCTATCTGGAATACGCGTGAGGGCCCCGACTCCGAGGCGTGCCCTCTGTGCACGGACTTTCACAGGCTCGTTTGGTGATGATACCTGGGATGGGGGTAGGGGCTCTGCCAGAACCTCCTTTTCGAAGTCACATCCTGCTCCTCGTGGTGAGGCCGCAGAATGGAGAGTGCCGTTTTCCAGTGAGGACCATGACAGACGCTGCTGGGAGAGGGAGCGGCCCCAGCCTGCCGGCCTGGCCAGGGAGACGTGGGGGGAGGAAGTGTGGGAAAGGGAGAGAGGGGGACACGCTCTTATTTATTCAGTCCGGAGTTTGTTTCCTCTCTGAAAGTCATGCTCAGGGACACAGGAAGAGCTTGCCCTGCGGCCCAGCGTTTGGGAACTCCTGGCAATCTTACCCAGCTTTTCCAAACAGCGCTGCTGCACCTGAGAGCCGACTGTCCCTGTGGCCGGACGGTTCCCTTTGCTGCTGTCCCCTGGCAAGCTGGCGGAGCCAGTGGCAGGCCACGCGGGCCGGGCCACA